TTCAACGCCTTCCTATGGATTTTGTGTATTTTCATCTGAGCATCCCTGATTTTTCAAAGCTATAAAAGTAATTACAGAGGCACACGGAGGCAGACGAAAATGAAAGTCATGCAGAATGATGCTCTTCAAAGGCCCTTGCTGACACAAGCAAATGATGCAGTTGCCATGAAGGGCCCGTGCTGACTAAGAGGAGTGTTTCGCCTGCTCACGCTCCTGCCTTCAGAGAAACAGTGAGCAAAGCCCTGGTGTGTAATGGCTTGAGCTCACGAAGGTAGGAATGCTATTTCCCAGTACAGGCTACCGCTGCCGTAGACGGCTGAGAGGCCTTTCTCTTCATTTTCTCCATTTTTCTTTTCTTTTAATAACCCAGACAATACATGCCAGTCAGTTGGAACACCTCTCAATCAATTCCTGTGATAATCCATGGGCTGCTCCATTATAGATACAAACAAAATGGAGACCCTGCCCCACAAGGTGTGGGAAGCCACAAATTCCAAGTGCTCAGAGACTAATTCTCTGTGACTAGCCACACAGAAAAAGGTGTGCTTCTCCTATCTAGCTGATTACATATACAGTCATTCCAGACAGCAAAGTCAAACAAATGATGGAACTGTACCTAGTGCTAACAAACTCTTAAATTCCACTATAGTTTCATTATTCACCTAAATACCTACATTACATAGCCACTTACACTCTTTTGTTTAAAAATCAACAAAAGAGTTGTAACATATTTCCACATTCTATTTAACACCAAGTATATAATGACTAGATTTATTTTGCTCTTATAGTGACTAGTTTTAAAAGTTTTCACTAGGGTGCCACCACCTGGTAGTTAAGGCACTGGACTCCTAAATGGCCAACTATGGTTCAAATCCTGGACCTAGCAGATTGAAAATCACACTAGATTATGTATGTGCACATGCCCCCCAAAAATCTTAGGAGAGTGGAGAAGGGATTGTGGCATGGCCATCTTCCCTACAGCAAAAAAATAAAAAAGGTTTTACTAAGTAAATTTTATTAATAGCTAGTATAAACGATTTGTTAAAAATGACAAAGACCTATCAGAGCTGTTTCCTTTGTGAAACAATGGGAAAAGCTAATACTGAGGAAACCGAAGATCTGCTAGCTTGAAGTTCTGGATGTTTGCCCAAAGGAGATACACTTAAAAATAATTGTGACTCCTTTCTACCACTTCCGGCAAGAGGGAAAAAAAGAAAAGAAAAGAAAAAAACCACCTCAGGACTGGACTAAGAATACTCTTTCCACATAGACAGATACCAAATGCAAATTCCACTAGTTAAGGCCGATAGCCTAGTTTAAGCCCAAATA